CAAGGCAAGAACCGGGGTAACTATCACGTTAGCCCGAGTGTTCGCAAGAAAATGGCAAGAAAACAAAAAAAGAGGGGAAGATGGAGAAAAAGGAGGGGTCGGGCGGCGCGTAGGCTAACAAAGAGAGCAGCGCACGCCGCGCGAAAGAGGCAGCAGGGTCAACTTCTTAGGGTAGCAACCTGGAATGTGCGGACATTGACTGTAAACGGGGCCGATGGATACGGGCTAGCTTACAGCGTTCTACACGAGGCAGCGAGACAAGACGTATCGGTGNTCCGGGTGTTCTGCTGTGGCACGGAGACTGGTGGAGTCCATGGTGTGGGGATAGCCGTCAAAGAGTCACTGTGCAAGACATCCACGTTCACTACGGAGTTTATCGACGAACGCCTTATGGCCATGAGGTTTCTGTTGGCAAGCCACCGTGGAGCGGTCACATTCGTAGCCGCGTATGCTCCAACCGAACCTTGAACCGTCGACAGTAAGCGCGTGTTCTGGGGAAAACTTGACAGTCTCGTGCGGAGGATCCCTTCCAAAGAATGTGTGCGTGTCCTACTGGACGCCAACGCGCGGACGGGAGATAGGTTGGACGGAGGGGACGGAAGGGTAATAGGAATGTACGGGCGTGATGAGCTCAACGACAATGGCATGCTACTGTTGAACTTCGCAACGGAAAACAGGCTAGCTCTCACGAACACGTTCTTTGAGACACGCAAGGGCGGAATATGGCACACATACAACGGTGTGTCGGGAAACGATTGCAAGCGCCTTGACTACATCCTGACAAGGCAGGCACATCACGGCCGAGTATCTGACGTGGTCGTCATCCCCCAGCCGGTTCGCCCAGTCAAAGCAGACTCAGACCACAATATGGTAGTAGCCACCGTCAACCTCGGTGGCAGGCTTGCCCACAACCGGGCAGTCCGGACTAAACCGAAACAGAAGCAATTCAACCGACGGGAATTGCAGTTCGAAGCAGCACGGTGTGCGGTGACTAATCGGTTCATCCTCAACCTCGACACACGACTGGAAGAGCGAAAAACCACCGCCGCGGAATTGGAGACCGACTTTACCATTGCTCTCCTCGACGCAGCGCGGACGACCCTGGGGGAGGAACCGCGGAGACGCCGCACGCAGGAGTGGTGTGAGACCCCAGAGACGCGAGCAGCGCTGGAGCAGGCTCTTATCAAACGTCGGGAAGCGCGCCGGGCGATGAGGGGCAACTGGAACTCAGCGACGTGGAGGGTTCTCAAAGCAGCGTGTAAGGGAGTGGCTACAGCAGTCGAAACGGGCATTTATGCCCACCTGGACGGATATGTTGTTATTGTTGTTGTTGTTGTTGTTGTTGTTGTTGTTGTTGTTGTTGTTGTTTCTCACATTAGCTCTAAAAAGAAAGATTGGGAGCCCGTGGTCTCAAAACCCGGCATACATGACTGAGCTCGAAGAAATCTAGAAAGATCGCGACATGCGAGGACTGTACCAACACCTCAAGAGATCAGTGGGCCTCAGCGGGAGAAAAGCGGGGGGACAGCAGTTCGTCGCGGATGAGAACGGCGTACTGCTCCGGAACAGGGACGACATCCTCCAGCGGTGGGCGAAATTCTTCAGCACCCTACTCGACACCAAATCCCCCACCCTGAACCCAGACATCATCGAACGAGTGACGCAGCGGCCAGCGACACGTGACACTCAACGGTTGGGAGATGTGCCAGAACTCGAGGAGGTGGCACGGGCAACGAAAGGCCTCAAGAACTGGAAGGCACCCGGCCATGACTCCCTCCCTGCCGAGTTGCTCAAGATCGATGACGACGAACCCTTCGTCCTGGGACACCTCCATACCATCCTTGTCAAGGTGTGGAACGGAGGAGATATTCCGCGAGAGTGGAAGGATGCAACCATCAAGGTGCTGTACAAGCAGGGTGACCGGTCCAACTGTAACAACTACAGGGGGATTTCGCTACTATCTCACGTAGGCAAGGTCCCCATCAAGATCATCACCAACCGTCTAAGCGCCTTCTGCGAAGCCAACAACATCCTCCCGGAGGAACAGTGCGGATGTCGACCCGGGCGATCCACCGTCGACATGCTGTTCGTCGTGCGCCGCCTCCAGGAGCTGGGGCGGAGAAAGAAAATACCGCTCTACATGTGCTTCGTCGACTTGAACAAGGCGTATGATTCGGTGGACCGAGAGATGGTATGGAAGGTGCTGGCCAGGGCCGGGATTCCCGCGAAGCTGATCGAAGTCATCCGCCAATTCCACGATGGAATGCGGGCCCGGGCGGGCATGGACGACGGAGAACTATCGGACTGGTTCTTCGTGACACAGGGCGCGGGACAAGGATGTGTGCTATCCCCACTGCTGTTCAACATCTTCTTCGCCGAGGTCCTCGAGGTCGTTGTCATCCGATTCAGCGAGGATGATGTTGTTCTGCGGAGCCTGGTGTGCTTGGAGGAGGGGAAGACGGAAGCGGGGGGGGGGGAGGAGACACCCCTTGACCGAGTACGGAGGGCAGTATGGGGGATGTCGTATGCCGATGATGCCGGCGTCGTATCGAGGTCTGCAGAAGGACTGGCGAGAATGATGACCATCATCGTTGAGGTGTTCGGGGAGTTCGGGCTAACGGTGTCGGAGAAGAAGACGGAGACGCTCCTGATGCGCGCAAAGGACAAGCCGACTACAATATCACAGACCGCCCCGCCTCCACCACTGACCATCAAAGCCGCGGGACAAAAATACGCCCAGACGACCGAGTTCCGGTACCTCGGGGGCCTCGTCAACGAACATGGCGACCTCACCCGGGAGATCAACTACAGGAGCAGAGGAGCGTGGGCGTGCCTCAGGCGATATGGCCGGGAGCTCTTCGACAGACCGCAAGCGCCATCCCGACTCAAGATCCGCCTGCTCCAGGCGGAGGCGATGGAGGCACTGCTGTACGGCTGCATGACATGGTCACCACTCAGCCGCCACTATCAGACGCTGCGGTCGATACACCACCGACTGCTCCTTCGAGTTATCGGGTACAAGCGCAAGAAAGACACCTACCGGCAGCTCTCTTACGCCCAGACGCTGAAGAGGTTCGAATGCCAGAGCGTTGAAGCCACGATCCGACAACGACGCCTACTGTTCGCGGGAGCATTGGCAAGGCAGCCGGACGGGCGACTCCCGAAACGACTGATGTTCGGCGAACTGGCAGGGGGAGAGAAGCGACGTAGAGGGGGACAGGAACAAAACTGGCCGAAGTGTGTGCTCGACGACCTGAATGCATTCGGGGCCGACCACGGATCTACGAAAACCGATCCATGTTGTCTCGGAATCCCGGAAACGAAAGACACGGCACCGAAGTTACAGTGGACGGAAGCCGCGAAAGTGGAGGGGGGAGTACCCTGGCATGCGGCGGTGCTGCAGGGAGCTGAGAGGTTCATGACCTCCTGGCACGAGAAGGAAGAAGAGGCCAGCCGACAACGGGCGCTCAAACGAAACCACAAGCCACCAACCCAAGGGTGGGGCGGTATGGGGGCAGGAGACGGACGAGACGGCGAGGGAAGAAAGCAAACGAGAAGAGACGGACCGAGTGGCGCGATACGCGCCGAGTTGAATTTCTTTTTGCCAATTCCCCCCCCCCCAACGCTGCACCATTA